AGGCTGTACCTCTTGCACTACCACATCTCTGCTTTTCTTCACAGAAGACACAGTGAGGTGGAGCGGGTCACATGTGTGTGTTGGCAGGGGCCTTGCTAAGGTCAGAACCCACAGAAGATGCACTCGATCCATCCCAGGGAGAGCATCCCTGCAGCAGACAGGCGAGCTTGGTGGTAGCACTGCACAGTGAAGTGCCTGCAGACAAAGCGCTGCCCAGCCCAGGCTGATGGGAAAGTTCTTCCTGGAGAAAGGTGGGTTTTGGTTCTGTTTCTAGGTTAGGTATCTCCTTTTACTGGAACAAGTAGCTAGGCAGGACACTCACACGCAGAAAGCCAGCAAGCCACCACCATCTCAGCATGACCCGCTTCGTAAAGAAAAGGCAGAGAGCACAGGCACAGCAGTGGCCATTCCAGCCATTTGGCTGCAGCACATGATGAACTACACAAGCTGACCAATGTTTAACATGTATCTTCTAATGCCTGATGTAAAAATTGAGAGCTTTTAATTATGGTATTTATTTTTTTAGAGGACAGCTGTTTGAAATTTTTCACACTACAAATTACCAAGCTATTCTGACCAGGTTTGTACCATACATGCAAATCTCAACTCATTGTGAAGATAGTTTAGCTTGGGTGTTGTTTCTTTCTCTGCATATTCCCACTTTTCAGCTTCATACACTTATTTCTTCTGGTGTGGTAAGGTTGTAACAGACAGGACCCCCGTGCTCTTCAGGATCTTCAGGTTTGGATCTCGGCTGGGGCACCCGGTGCCACCAGAATAATGCTGCCAAACTGAGAAAAAGTTCATTTTTGTATCACACAGATGCTGGTTGTGCACTCACTATTACATTGCAGGAACATAGTTCTTGACTCTCACTAGCACTCAGGTGTTTGTGTCAAGTGAACCCGGACAAAAGCTCATCACTGAGGAGCTGACACATAAAAGCCACTCTGGCGAAGGCTGGAAAAAGGTGGACGCTGGCATTTTGCAATATCACTTGAACTCCACCTGTTTACAGTGATTTACCCTTACAAAACATAGCCAGGCCTTCCTCTGGAAGGAAGAAATTATTTACTGTGAGGGTGGTGAGACACTGGAACAGGTTGCCCAGAGAAGCTGTGGATGCCCCATCCCTGGAGGTGTTCAAGGCCAGACTGGATGAGGCTTTGAGCAACCTGGGCTAGTGGAGGGTGTCCCTGCCCATGGCAGGGGGGTTGGGACTTGATGATTGCTAATGTCTATTCCAACCCAAACCAGTCTATGATTCTATGATCTGTATTGCATGAAGTGGAAAAATAAGAAAGAGAAAAATAAAAACCAAACCTCACACACTTGGGAGTCTGGCTTTCTCCCAGATCTCTGGCCTGAATTCCTGCAGATTTCCTAAGGAACTGTTTCATTGCTATCTTGCTTGTCTATCACACCTGCTTTGTCTGGTTGCCTTCAGTGTTTTGCATTTACTTATTCGCACACTGAGGATGTGCTCTCCCCTTCCCTGGCCAACTCCATTTTAGCGCAGTAAGCTGCAAGATGAGGTTCTAGGAGAAATAAGTGTGATGCTATCCCTGCTTGTTCTGCTTTGCAGTTCTGAGTTTGGTGAATGCAACACAGATTTCTTCTTCAGAAATAAAGTAGTAGCTAACTACTTTAACAAATTCAAATGCATTTGGGAAAAGTTGTAGGAAACTAATATTACAGCTGCCATTTAATTCTCAAGGCAATAAAAAGGACCAAGAGGCCAAGTTGCCTCTGAATGTCTTTCATGTTGGTTTGTTACACAGTGTGATCTTGTTTTACAAGTGCGCTGTTTACAAGAATGCTATGGGGGGGGGGAAAATGTTCATTTAAGTCCCACAATCACATAGGGCTACTTTTGTAAAGGTCTGATCCAGTCCTACCAGCTGCTTGCCCACAAAACTTTGCAATTGTGGAGGCTAATTAAGATTCTTCAGAGGAGCTCTCCTCTCCCCAGCCGTTGCAGAAGCCCTCATTAGACATGCTGCACCTCCCCCTACGCCCAGCAGAATGCCCCACTGTGCTTGGTGTACGTTATGGCTTATGAATTAACCAATTGATTCGGAAAATATCATTACTTTGGGGCTAAATAAAGCTGTTCCCTTCAAGAGGAAAAAGTCAGTGCCCCACCTAGGAATAAACTGACACCGTATTACCTACAAACTCCCTTCTCTCTCACACAGCGAGTCAAGGATTCACTTGCCAGGACACAATGGAGTCAGTACAAAGGGAATTTATCGTGGCTTTCTGTGAAGATGGGGAGGAAACCCGGGCCCGGGCAGTAAGTGTGACCTATCCACTTGCATTCAGGAAGCTTTATTTATGTGCAACTCTGAATTAAAAAAATATTTTACAGGAAATGACTGCATATATTTCCCTTGTCTTTTTTGTGCCCACTTCTCTCTCCAGCTTTACACTGAGGAAACTCCTAACTGGTATAGACCAAGTGCGTCTGAGAGTTGCTTCGTAGCAACACTACGTAGCTGAACTACAGAGCTGAACACAGCTCAAGCGCTGGAACTAGATTTCAGCTGGCACTGATACATAATATCGGACCTCCAGTATCTTTGAGTGCAAAAGTTTATATTCAATCTGTAAATTGGTTTGAAACCAGAACCAAACCTGATTTAAAGCCCAAACTAAGGAATATATAAACTGAATTATGTTTCATCTAATACAAACAGCTTTCCCCTCCTGTGTTTGTGCAAAAATCTGGGTTTTATTTTTTAAAATAAACCTAACTGCAGGAACAAGACAACACATTTCAAGCAGCAAAGAAACAAAATGTGCTGACATCCAGTTTGAAGCTACTCACAATAAGCACACCCTCAGCTTAGACAGGCTCCTCTTCCTGAGCATTTTGAATATAGCTACATACCTTTTAATTAAAAAGAATATTCCCCCCTCCTCAGAGAACATTAAAACATATGACTGCTTCACAGCACAAAACCATACTATATATTGTAATAATAAAATGCTTTATTTTGGGGTAATACAAGAAAAAAGTGTGACATCCTTACTATCAAATTGTTTTAAAAAGGCATTCTTTGAAAAACATTACCACTCGTACAGAAAAGGTGACCTGTGGATAAGCCCTCTCATTTAGCAGTGGGAATTCTTTCTTATTTTACAGCTGAAGTTGTGATTTTAATAATCTACAGCAACGGATTTCAACTTCGTTGGTATTTTCTAGCAGCTTGGGGCACACCTGCCACTTGGCACTGCTCTGTTTGACAGCCTACCAGGAGGCTGACAACGTAACACAGAGATGGAGCTTTCACAGTTCTCACCCAGGTCACTTTGCAACAAACCACAAGACTACACCATTACCACAAGACGACAGTGAGAAAGCCACAAGGTAACTCGTCTTATCTCCAAAGACTTTTCATATAAGCCTTATGCACATGAAATTCTTGTACCGTTCATCTGACTACACCTCAGTTCTTCACCACACATCGCCTTTGCTGTAAGCCAGAACTGTGTTGCAAAAGGTATACAACAGATCAAAGGTAAAATATAATTAATTTCCCCAATGTATCTGCTTTCTGTAGGTTCCAAGTAAGTTTGGATATATTTTAAAGACTGCAAATTTATATCCATCAATTACTTCTGCCCTCTCTGAATCTCATGTTAAAGTTGTTAAAGAAAGGGACTGGGAGGAGGTTCCTAAAATCATCAGGTTATAAAGTAAGCATTAATCTTTTAATCCAGCATGAGAACTCTTTGCTGCAAGTAGTATCAACGCTAAGCAGTAAGAGACAGTCTTATTGTTTAAAGGGGGTTCATGTTGTCTGAAGCGGGAATGGCAAACTCCAAAAGAACTAACGGTTTTCTTTATTCAGGTTAGACATAACAAATATGTCAAATACAGCAGTTAGTCTAGAAAAATACATTTTAAAAAAATCTTCAGCAGACCATGCTCCCTGTAACAAAATCTTTCAAAACCAATTTTACAAATTATTCTACATTAATGTAAAAAGAAATTCTTAAATTTAGCATCATGGATTCCATCAAACATCTAGCTATCAAAACATGAGTTTCACTATTTGTAGATGTTAGAATTCATAATACATTTTTTCTAATGTATCCTGTACATATTAAATAACCTAAAAGGCTCCTCTTGTAGTGCATTAACAATTTAGTAAGCACACTCAGTATTTCTCCAGTACCATTTGCATTACAGCTATTTGCCTGCAAATGTAATTAACATCTAAAAGTGCACACAGTTAGGTTCCCCCTCCCTCCCCATAACCTGTTTCCCTGCTGATACCCAGACAACCCCTGGAAACATTATGCTACTGTAGTTAATCTACCCATTATTAAAAATGTGTGACTAAAACGTTCTTAGAACTATACAGGAACCGAATTATATACAAGAATCAAAAGGACAGCCTGTATTTACATTAAACTTCCACTACCACAGCATTATACCGAGAACTCAATACAGTGTTACAATTGCTATTTACTTAGGATTTTAGCTTTAAATCAGTACAACACAAAACTTAGCTCAGGAAAGATCCTGAAAAAAAAACGAACATGTTTATTAAATATGACTTCTATTATGCCACAAGAGAAATATCCGTTTCTGGATATTCTTACAAGTTCAGTGTTTGAAATTGTGTGCTGTTCTACAAAGCAACTAAGAAGTTCCAGAAAGTTTGCTGGGGGAGAAAAAAGGAAAGAAAGAAAAAAAGAAAAAGGTAAAAAAAAGGAAAAAGGACAGCAGTTATCAAGTGAGGAATTAGATTTGAATAACTAAGCCAAACTGTTAGCACAAGTTTAAGAGAGTCACTGCATGCAAACCCCCCTGGACAAGCATCATACAGATCTGAGTAGGTTCTAATACACAAGCTTAGGATGTAACTTCACTGAATTTTTCCATACCAGTTGGCAGGACTTTGCCCTATCAAGTGGAAAAAATTTAAGATTAAATTCCAGATTATCCAGTTTGAGATTAACGGCTTTACTCTCCAAGAAATCCAGTGTATGAACCTATATTACATTTTTCCAATGCTACTTAAAAAAAGGCAAACTATAAACTTTTCAATTCACTTTTTACATTGAACTTTTCAAAGAAATCCAAAGTGTTGTCTTTTAATTTGCATTAAAGTGGTCAAACATTTCTTCTGTTTCTCCTGTCCCCCAAAAGTGCAAAAAACAAGTTGCTGCTTGGTCCACAAACATAATACATCATGTACAACAAGCAATTTTCCTTCTGATGGAGTACTGCTGCCAACCCATCACTTCCAGTTTCTGCTCCAAGAAAAATGTCAGCGTCCAAAGATGGAATTCAATTCCAGTAGAATTAGTTCTACAATCTGATTCTGGTATACTGTGTGGACTGCTATGTTACCAGTCTCTTTCTCTGGTTTTAATAAAGTTGGGCCAAAAACTATTGCTACACTTTGATAGGTCATTCGATTCTTTTCTCCATTTTCTACAACTCTGAAAGAGAAAAAAAAATATGCAAAAAGAGACTTATCAGTGTTAGTGTAATGGGATGACAGGAAAAAGACACAGTCCAAAGCAAATGACTATTCACAATATTTATTTAATGAGCACTCTTGTTATTAGGACATACAGCTGCTTGTGATTCCCCTCTCTACAGAAAAGTTTTGTTTTGAAATGCTATTCCTGATCCTCTCACAATCCCTCTAACATACGGACTTGGCAGTAAACATCACAACTATGACACATACTGTCTGAAGTCCATTTGGTGCTCTGCAAGCTTCTACAAATACAGACTGATACATTGTTTTCATCAAGTCCAACCTAGGCAAGAAAAATGCAGTGGGAAAATGCAGTCACCTACTTTTAAGTCACAGTACTTTTAATTGGATTATTTCGCTTTACAAGAGGAACAGCAATACAAAGTCTTTCCTTTTATCTGCTACTTACCTCTTCAGGTGTCTAAAGAGTACCTGCATAGTGTCCTGATTTGGCTTTGGCAACTGTTTGATTAACTCTTTAACAGCATGGACACGCTGCTTTGGTTCTTGTTCTGCAAAAGGATGAGGTGTAGAAACAAAAATTCAGTGTTTTTATTCAAAACTTTAACATAAAATTTAACAGAGCAGGAATAAGAGCGAATATCGCAGTGCTAATACGAAATAAAATACTGCCACCTCCTGACTGGACCGTGCATTACTGACAGGCAATTTTAGCTAAGCCTTACAGATTCTTTTTACTGTCTAAAATAATTAAATGAACTGTAGATATTGAGCAGAACTTATACAAAAAGCATACGCATGTTTTCCAGACTTACTAATTGCATTGACAAAGTCATTGAAATGATTGTAAGTGAACAGTGGCTCTGGTAATTCTCTGAAAAACATCTTTAGAGCTCCTGTGATGACATGTATATCTTCCCATTTACTGTCATTCAAGTCTAGTTTCTCATCTGGGAGAAAAAAAACGAACAATTAGTGTTAATGATTTAACTATAAGACTTTTTTTAAAAATAAACTTAACTGCTCTTCTGTACTTACTGCTTTTAAAGCAGTAAAGATACTTACTCCACTTCAGACCATTCTCTGCTGGGATATAAGGCTGCAGCAGTGTAACAGGGGATACAAAAACTCAACTGCTACAGAGATGGCCAAACTCTGCCTACTGCACTACATGCAGCTCCCCTGACACCAAGGCCATTTTTCAAAGGGGAATAAGAGCTGCTGACATAACACAAAATTTACTTTTAGACCCTGTCAATCAGGAAATAAAAAGTCAGACTGTAGATGGGCTACTGTCATCTTCCTGGTTGAAAGCTGCCTATTGATTACCCCTGAACAAAACACTAAGATATAGCCACGTGAATGGGTTTCATACACAGAGTATGGTGAAGAGGAGCTAAGCATCCCCATACAAAAGGCAGTATCAAATCACACTACAAAGCATTAACTTACAATTTTAATGCTAGCGGAAGCTTAATATGCTTACTGTTTTTCCACAAGGTATAAAGTTATTTTGTTTTAAATAATTCTCTCCCCTCAAATTCTATCACCACCTTTCTTTAGAATTATGATCTAGCAATGCCTCTGTGTTCCATATAAGACCAAGCCTGCAGGATGTTAGGTTTTTCAAATGATGTGTATTCCACACTAAATTCTGCAATTTTAAAGGTAATTTTACCTTGAAGATTACAATAATTTCTCACAAAAGACCACAGTTATACATTAAGAAAAATTTTTCCTGAGCTTTCTATGAACTTCAATCTGTAAATATATGCAATTGTAATATAGTTGAAGGAAGCTTACCATGATTCACTGCGAATCTTAGCTTCTGTATCACTGCAAGATTGCCACTAACTCTGTATAAGCCGTCAACATCTAATCCTAAAACAAAGGCATAAATCCATTTTAATATCTTACACATGTATGAATAGCGCAATCATTAGGCTGCTTCTTTATAGGTCTACTCAGCAAAATTAAAACTGAAAGAAACCCACCTTTCAACAAAGAACACTTGCTTCAACAGAGGTTTAGTCTGCTGACACACATTTGGCAGCGTCAAGCTCAAAATAATCTCTAAAGTATTTTCCTACACAGTACAACAGTGGTTATGAGGCAACAGCTCCAAGTCTCCCCAGTGAGATTAGGTGTCTTGTTTAAGATGCTCTTGGTGGGTGGGCAGGGGGTATACAAGACTCCAACATGCAAGAACCAAGTATTTTGTGGATGTTTGATTTTTTAATGTATGGTTAAAAAAAACTAAATTAAGTCAAGAACAGAGGGCATCTCAAAGTTGTCAAGTAACCAGGTTTGCATGGAGATGGAACAATGTGCATGCACACGCATCACTACCCAATGGCCTACAAAACTAAAATGGGCAGCCCTTGCCTTTACAGTATTGCACACTCAACCAGAGAAGAAAAAAACTGTGTCTCCGTGGTTGCTACTGCAGTTCCTCAGAAGTGATTAGGAGGCAAAGAATTTAATCGAAACACTTGAACACAGCATGTGAGTCAGTGCCACTGACAAGGGTGTTGCCAGAATACCTGCAAGTCCCTGTAGCTCCTCAAGGAGTTGTGAGATGCAACACAGCACAGTTACCAGCACCATCTGACATCTCCCTTTTCCCCATAATCCACTAGTCATTCCTTTACATTAAGAACTGATCTGAAGTGTAGTGGCAGTAGGAAGAAGAGCTGGAGAAGTAGGGAAAAAGCAGCTGTTTGTTTCTGTCAGCTTCCCCTCAGGTATTTAAAAAAGGAAAACTTCACCACTATCTTCACTGCAGTCCTGTCTTTAAAATAAAAAAAAAAAAAAAAACCCAACACCAAACCTAAAAAATAATTTAAAAACCCCAAAGCAAAATAGCCCCTTTCTCACAAACTGCAGGTCACAAATGGAATAAATCCTGATGTTACAAGCAAGGTGGCAGCTTGTCAAACTGGAGTAAGGCAACGGAAGTACTTATTTTTTTCCTCCTTCCAGGCCATAAGATAGCAGCACTGAGAAAGAGGACTACAGGCTGCAACAAAATCCTAAACAAAGCTCCCATGGAAAATGACTTAAATTTCACATGTAGCATTCCACTGTAACACTTACCCTGATTCTCAAGAGAATGTTCTCAGATTAACAGACTGGTATATATTTTAATGATGATTATGGAGATTCTATAACCCGCTCTGAGTCATCTTTTCCAAGAGACAGGGCAATGACAACAGCAAGAAACAAGCAAGAAAACCAGCACAGACTACAGCCAAGTCAGGAGTCACAACCAACATATTTTCAACAAAAACATGAAGATGTCCTTTACATCAGACAATCCAGAATGTCACATGTAGCTTTTAAACATATAATTTTCTCAGCTATTAGGTAGGAAAGACTTATTTTCAACGAAAGGAAACAAAAATTACCAGTGTCCACATAGTGACTCAACCTCTAGAATTGTATAAAATTTCACACAGCCATCGGTGTAATGGCTGAAGGGTATCAGACTGATAGACTTGTCTTCTGGCAGTCAAAGCATATGTAGAGCAGGAACACATCTTTTTCCCAGAAGTTTGTTTCAAGGAAATTTTAATATAAATTATTTTGTTTGCATGACTAAACCTTCAAAAAATGAACAGCTGCATTTTGACAGTCTCTCTTTTCAGCTGAAAAAAATATTGATGGGCTGAGCTCTATTACTTGTAATACCTCTTTCCTTTGAGTCTTGCTGCCAGAAGGCTGTCCTGCCTTCTCCTCAGCTTGAATGACACAGAAGCAGATCAACTTCTCAGATATACGATTTCCTCCCCTCTCCCCATTTTAGATCCCACCTGTCTCCCCACTCTTGAAAATTCATTGCTACCCATAGATACAGGTTTCAGATTATTTCCTTGAAGAAATCTGCAGCATTTTAAGGACTAAAATGTTTAAAATTAGATAGTGTGGTGAGCAAGAGATTTGGAAACAAAAAATTTTCACCATACCATGTTCCTCAACATGCTCAATGCACAGCTTCACGAACTTTGGCACCGTGCCGTTTTCTCTTTGACACAAGCTGGTGAGATTGGAACCAAACACTTGATCTGGAACCAAGTAAAGAGACTGATTTACAGTGGAACAGGACTCAAGTGACAGAACTAGTTCAGGTTAAAACAAACCTCTACAAAGGGCAATGGCTACTGGATACAATTGTCACAGTATTAGAGTGAAAAGGGTAAAAACAGGAAAGTTTAAAAAAAAGCTCTCAGCAGCGCCCAGCAAGAAGCAGCTCCCAAAAACAGCAGTTACCCAACGTGAATCTCTAAAGAACTTTTGCTACTGAAATAATTTTAATCTATCAGGAGACACTTGTAACAGTTATATAGTCATTATTGTAATGTAAAATTTAATGGATTCAAATGTCCTGTTACACTCTATTCCTGCTCTCAGTTCAAAATACATTCACTGTAATCTTTATTAAAAATCTGAACAGAGACAAACTTTAACCAAAGCGAAAGCTTTTTTCATTGCTTGGAGAAAAACCCTGTAAAATGCCATCGTTCATTGCACCTGATTAACCCAGCATTAATTAATTCATTATGAATTAATGTAGAATCTTCAACATTTTTAAGCTCTGACATGGATTTGAAAATGACAGACCTTTATATCATAGAGCTCTGAATGGATGCAAGTATGACTATGCACAGGCAACCTGGCTGCAAGGTTGGAATCTAAATACAGATATTTATGAGCAAAGGTAATTTTGAGTCTCGTTTTCAAAACTACACAATCCAGGGGGAGTGTTTTCTATCATAAAATGAACGAAAAATTAAAATCAGCTGGGGCAAAGACAGATTCTTGCAGTATGTCAGTGTATTTCAGCAACACGGTAACTCCTTGTTCAGATTATGTTATCACGAAATCTTTCTCAGACACATTTCTATGGTTTTCATCAAAGACGCTCAAATAATAGGTGGTCTTCCTTGTTCAGATGCATGAGACTGAAACAGGGTCTTGAGACAGAGGGGTAAAGTTCACAGTGTTAAGTGGAAGAAAATTTTTGGTTTTGTTTTTTTAATCTGTTAAATAAGGTATGTAAGTGGCCATCTTCGCTGCATGTGGTAGGTGTTACTTCAGAGCTTAGGCAAAAGAGAAACTGCTCTTCTATTTACATACATCTAAAAAATGGGCATCTAAGCCCATTTTTCATGTTTAGTAAGTAGATTCATTAACAACACTTGCATCTGACTACCACTTTGGGAAAACCAAACAGTACACCAAACCAGTATGAAAACTGGCATATGATGGTATTATTAGCTGTATGCACATAACACCAGTGACCCAACACACCTTCAGTCCTGCTGCTGCTACTCACGTAGCCAGCTGTATAAGCAGAATCAGTAGCAAGTGATTGAAAAAGCCCACACAGGAGAAAGCCAGGCTAGCATGCAGCTGGAGCAGGTAAAGCAATGCAGATTAGGTAGCACAAGAAAATACCAGCATGTAACAATCTGATCTGCTACAATTGCCTCCCCACATATACAAGAATCACATTTTTTCCTCTCATCTTAAAGTAACTTTTGTAATTTTGTTTTTCAATGTACCAAAACTTCAGCACAATTATTTCTCTGCTTAGTGCATGCTGTTTCAAGTGGGTTTTTTTCTAGAACTTTTCATTACTTTTTCTGCTCATATTGGGTTTGCCAAGCTTCCCATTTACTAAGCTTGTTCTTGTAGGAGCCACAGAAGTACACTGGACTCTTAAACAGACTTCTGTATTTTTCATTCATACAGTAAACATAAAGCTGTACAGTGCAGATCCAACTTTTAAAATTTACACCATGCTTTTAAATAAAAACAAACTCTTAATTCCTTAACATCTTTATTAAAAAAATCCAATCATCTGCATGCACACATACAAATTGAACTTGGCTTAGCGCTCGCTGTTGCTAATGTCTGAAGTTATGTCACTGAGCCATGACATGAATAGTAGGTTGTAAAGCAGAGCAAGACGTCAAAGTTTGGGAATAATGCTGTCTTATCCCAAACAAAAATTCCATAATTTACACTTAAATTATATTTGCAGATACACAAATATATCAAACACCACATGCAACAGAAGCACACCTGTTAAAGTATGTAGTTAGGCAAATCACAGTAGGATTTGGTCTGATATTTGCCTACCCATATGCTATTTTGACCCTAGTAGAGCATCATCTACAAGTCCTGCTAAAGCATACAAATAAATAAATAAATGAAGTTTTACAGTGAGTATCAAGTCAATAATTTACACAAACACATTAACTCAAACTTGTGTCAACACTGTCCTCTCAAAGTTTCTGCAAGTGTGACAAATGGAAATAAATTATTTCGTAAGTTTCATTCAGGAACATCTGTAAGACTCATTGTGAAACAATTAGAAAAATGTATACATTCAAAAATGTTAGGGAAAAAAGATGTGTAAGATTCCTTTAGCCTCATCCTGGTTTGCCTAAATATTCCGTTTCTTATGTGGTGGCACATGATTGTCTGGCTCCACCCAGACTCACACACCCTTGTGAAACAGATGAGCGCAAGCATTCAGCTTCATCCTCAAAGGACTTTTCTTTCTCTCGCATGCCCAAATCATTACCAGCTATCTGAAGCTTCCAGCTCAGAACAGCCGAGCAAATAGACTCACTAGCTAAGCAGCACTCCAAGTCCAAACAGGCTCCTGGGCCCTCCATTTTTTCTGCAGTTTTGCCAGTAATGAGCTGAAGGAGCGGACATCCTCCATGAAGTTTAGTGGCTAGTAGCAGTGCTCAGAATGATGACAATCACCAGCTCCACTATACATCCACGACTTTTCTTAAATCAGCTATACACATGTTTTACTCTACCATTTTAACCCCATCTTACACATGAACTACTAAATTCAGGTTTTCAAATTATCTCCTTTGTTAAAAAGGTTCATTTACCCTTAATGTAGCCTTTTTCACGGACAGCTTGTAACGTAGGGCGCCGTGTAAGAAACTTCTTGAGCTTCGTTTTGGTCTTTTTCTGATCTGTGGAATCTATATTGCTAGGTGCTTTCACAGCTGAAAAGAGAAATGCATTTAGCATGAATATCCACAGAACTATCACTGCATTTATCTGCCAAAGAAACAACATTTTAAAAAAAATTAAGCTCAAAACCACATCAAAAACTTGTTCAAATTTGCAATGCATCCACTTTTTCTTAACTTTTTTGAACTGTTTGTAAATAGCATCCATTTTTCAAACCACCAAGAGACAAACCTGTGACAAAAAACTTGTTAAACCAAATGCTTCCTGTGAAACTAACTAAATGGTAGCTTACATATAGAATTGATGTGGAATTTTAAAAATACAGCTATGTTTCAAAGTCAGTCTTGCCTTTCATTAAGTTAACTATTTTGAAAGGAATAAATACTTTCTTGCAAATTACATATAAGACCTGGAAGTAAAAGACAGAAAATAGTCTGCCTGATTAATATATTTCTGTGCACAGTAAGAAATTTCTGCAGCTAAAAGAAATTTAGCGCTGAAATTCTGAAGGTGTAATTAAAAATGTATAGTTTCTCTAAATAAGCCAACATATCTTTATCACTTAGGAAACTGCAGTTTAAGTTAATAGTGCGAATATTTACAGATGCTGTACCACAGACAAAAAACAGGTAAAACAATTATAATCAGTTTTGAACATGAAAAGGACAAAAGAATTCTTATTCAGTCATTTGTAAAAGTCAGAGAACACAAACACCTAATTACTTCTGTGAATTTGACAACACCCTGAGAATATCCCATTTCACTACTACCTATTTTCTCCTCTTTTTCATGTGTCATTCAGAAGGAGCTAAAGACATTTAGCACTTTTTTTTCCTTTTTCTTTTTTTCTACTCAGTGGCACCAATATGTAGAATGAACTCTATCAAAGTCTGTTTCCAAAGTTGAGTAGCTTCATTTCTAGCTGTCCTTTTGAATTCTTCTCTATTTACACATAATACTGAACATGCAAAAATTAAAAACTGACATTGCTAAAATAATTTAGTTGAAAATTTTAAACTCACAACGAAGTTTCTTAGAGTCTTTGTTCTCTTTATCTTTTTCTTTGTCTTGTTTTTCCACTCCAGGAGAATCTGGTACCTCATCTTCTAATGCTTCATCAGACCCTACTACCTATTAGATTTAAGAAGATGTACAGTGATCAGTTTGCCAGTTCACAGAATATAGCGTTAACAAACACAGACAGTTCTACAATATGTTTTACTTTCCCTATAATGATATTCAGTTGGTTTTTTCCTGAACTCTAGATGCTAAAAATATCTTCAGAGATAATACCATTCTCACTGTCAAAGTGAGTAACTGTGAGAAACACTATTTGATCATAAGACCCAATAAAGAAAGTTTTGCTGGACACTGAACTAAGTACAACCAGCCTTTCACGATAACACTGCATTACATCAACGAACAAACAATAGAATTTTTTTCCCCAATCCAGTAGACAAATATCCGTTATTTCACGGTCTGCTACAGAAGCACCTGATTGATAGAGTCTAAAAGACATTTCTAGAGCATTTACCCCATTTCTGATCTCTGCAATTAAACTTTTATTAACAGAAAATAGAACTACCAGTTGGAAAATTTCAGCACTGTCAAAACATACACTGAATTCACTTTGAAAAAAGTAAATACACCAGCGCCTAAAATCCTTACCCTGCGTTATTGCTCTCTCAGCATATCCTCATTAAACACAGCTAAGTGAAAATGTAGATCACATTGCAGTGCAGAGCCTGTGAGACTGCCTACCTACAGCCTCATACCTATGCTGCACGCATGACTGCAGACAGGTCAGTAAATAGGAAATGAAACTTCCTCTGGTTTCAGTTCAACATCCTCCCTTCCAAAACTGCGTATTTCTTACTTCACTTCTACTAAAGCAAACTTGACTTCTACGCAGTTACAAAAACCTGACTGTACAGCGTCTCTTGTTACAAGGAAAGACATTCAAAAAATAAGGCAATGTTGCATATTCCAGAGCACTGAATGAGCAGAAGCATGACTTCATGGACTAAATTGCACTTGAACTTGAAGGGCTAACCTTAGCTTTAAAACACCCTCATTCCTTGTTGCTTTTCAAAAGCTTTGGATAGGTCAATATATTCAACTGCCCAATTAATGTCCCTGCTAAAGATTCCTCTGCCACTGAGATCATTTGGACAGTGCTCTCTTCAAGAGGCTTCAAAGCTTTTTAGGATGGATACATTTTTAAACCATTAACTGCTTTGGAAAAAAAAAACTACCCGAAATCCAGTTTGTATAATGGAACAAGTCTAATCTAATAACATGGGAATTTCTGTATGTAAGAAAGAACAGCCACATCCTTTGCAGATAGCTTTTCCTCTTGTACAGCATACTATCACAACAGCAGTTTAAAGGAGGAAAGAGACCAGAATCTAAGCTGTACCTTATTTTGAGGAAGATCTCATCACACTAGAACTATCCATAGCTATCCTGGGAAAGAGACTCACAGCTACTATTACCATAAAGTTCCCAAAATTAAAAGTTTGCTTCAGATCAGCTGGATTTTTGCAGCCACAGCTTCAATACTCCAAATTATCAGGTACTCTAATAACATACTTTTTGAACTTCCCTTGTAATCTTAGGGCTCTTGGCCACCAGCTCCCAGCAGTAATACATTACCATTTCCTCCAGAGCGCTGGTAAACTCTCCCTGTTCCACCATTTGCTTCCTCAACCTAACATGCAATACCTCACTCTCATCTCAGCCTTTCCATCTGCGTTTCTGTTTAAGCAGGGAGGAAGTGACCTCAGTGGCATCACAAGGGGCAGACAGGAGAAGGGTATCGCTCAGTGACTGCCTTGCCTGTTTATTAAGGGCCATGACACTTTCATACCAGGAGAGAGCAGAAGATTAGGAACCTAAACCATGAGCACTCAATGAAACCAAATCATTCATATTGGTCTGCTGTGTGTGGGTGGAAAACACTATGAGAGCTAAGACAAATTAAGGCCACTGACTGAAAACAAAAGCAACATAAATTCAGCTTAAAAAATTAAGAATACACATGAAGTCAACTTGAAACAAGAAGAATGTTTTCTCCAAAATCTCCTCCAACTTCTTCTGAATTCAAAGATGGTAAAGCCTGTTTGGCAATATCAAGAGAAAATGCCTGATCACTTTTCTGTTGATTAAATAGTTGGCACTATGTTGTCTGATAAGAAGAGATAATACAGTATTTTGCTTGGGCTTTTCATCTGCACTTTAGTGCAGCCTTAAGTGAATAGCAGTATCAAATGCTGATTAATATATGTCACGAAGCACTCTCTTGGCTGTCCTCCCGCCTTTACTCCCTCTCCGTGAAAGCTTTTCAGGTCACTGAGACAGAACAAGTATCTGGCCAGAGAAGGAAGCTCATTTCTGAGCTGGAGGTCAGCCCACATCTCCTCATTATTAATCCAGTGGACCATCCTTCTTCCTTTGCCAATATTAATTATATTTCACCTGTCAGCACCAGGAACTGCCATATCCTCACCCTCCTGTCCACACACAAGAAAATCAGGAAACAAAGATGGACATGAAGCACTAGGAGTCATTACATCAATTATTTTACTAAATAACATTACCTTAAAAATAGAGCCTTCACAATTCAAACACATACCTGATTGTTGATGGTATAGTTAAGAACTTTATACCATTCATTAATGAAGCTGTCATTATCAGATTGAATTAAGAGCTCAGTTCCTTGGCGGGTTTTTAGCTTTAAAGAGATAAAAAAAGTTATCATCAGAATTGATCAGCATATTAGAAATCACAAGCAAAATTACCTAAATCAAAATAAACTTCTCCCTGGTATAACTTTTAGATAATATATATAGTCACTCAAGAACACTTAACCAATAAAAACAGTAAACAATAGTCTGCTTAAAACGTAAAAGCATATCCCATATAGACATATTAAAAGTGGACATTTCTTGCAGGTACTAAGATATGTGTACATTTGAGCAGGAACAAATACAGAAAAATGCAATTAAAGTTTTTGATTTTAAGTTTAGAGAAAATTTATTATGTCATTAAAGTACATATAATTCTCCATTTAAATAAAATAATTCACCTCAATAACATTCTTTTTGCTGGATTTGTCCTTTGAGGCCCAATCAATCAATGCCCCTTTGAGATCCACTGTAAATTCTGGCTTAGACTGATTGACACCAAACTTCTGGAAAAAAAGGAACAATGATGACAAACTTAAAAACAAACACAGAAATTCCTAATAGGAACACAGTCTTGCAACCCTTTACATGTAACATATGTTATCTGCAGTCTACACAACTTAACCCAAATACAGTACTTGGCCACAATCAACAGGTGTGATACCAGGAAAACAAAAACCAAACAAAAACCAACACAAAACACCTTTCAAGCATGCCTATTAAAAGCTGCTCAGCTGAAAGCCCTTAAAATTCTATAACTTTAAATAGTTGTATATAAAACCAAAAATCAAACCAGAAACAGTAGCTTTGCTAGACAGGAATCACATCTCTACTGCACTGAAAGAGCATTTTCAGTTTTCACATTTTCATAACATACATATTTTGTATATACATATGTGTGTGTGTATATATACACACACACACACACACACATGTATATTTCCAACAACGCTCTCACATATTTTCCTGTAGTGCTTCTATTGCTATACTGGAGCATATCCTAGAAAGTGAACAGAACTCAGTTTCACTATCTAGCTACTAAACAAACAACAAATAACTGAAGTGATAAAAAAAGGATTTAACCCACAAGTAACCCATCAAACAATTTGGAAGAAAACATCAGTGAGCTATTTTTACCTACTATTTCACATTTATACTAGATATCACAATTTTTTAAAATAAAGTACTTTTACCAGGGTTTCAACCTATACTACGTAGCTTTCAAATATCATTCCTCAAGAAAACTAGTTCAGTGACCCATACAAACCAAAATCTCTAATTGTAAGTAAAGTAAGTAAAACATGCAACAGGGAAAGCTGTAAGTCACTTGGTTGTAGCACAAAAATTTAATGCTGCAGTTCTAGGGGAAGCTTGTAGCATCTGAATCCATCAGAAAGGTTCTTTTCTATTTCTTTAAAAAGTCTTTGATGTGCGAATGCTGTTTGTGTGACATCTCTGGGGGACGTAAGCCCCAGGACAAGCTCCTTGCTGCGAACGTGAGTTTCCAGCCTCTACAAGAACAGACGTATCCAAGGGGAGAAAAAACGGTTCAGAAAACAGAACTAATCTGCTGCTTCTGATTAAAATCCCAGCATGGATGTTAATTAATGCTAATTGTGTTTTAGAAAGGCTGTTTACCACTGGAAAATCTCCCCGCCTTGAGTCCTAGGGGCAATTAAGTGTTGAATGGAAAGTACCATCTTAACTTCATTATTTTACTCGTGAAATATCAGAATAGGGGAATATTTCTGATTTACCCAATGCCAGCTAGCACTTGAGAAAAATAAAACCGTTCTGCTTTCTAGCTTAATTCTCAGATACCTCATCCAAGAACATTTCTTATTAATTACAGCAGAGCTTTTGAACAAGGCCCAGCTCAGCAGTAGACTCCACAGAACAGAACAATCTCTGGGCCATTGTGTCTCTTGCAGTTGTGGGTGGCTATGCAGCAGCAGCCGATTTAAGAGAAATTAATATAACTGCTTCACATATGCCCCAGCCACACACCTCCTGACAGCCTAGAACAATATTGTTTTGTGTTGGAGAAAAAAAAAAAAAAAAAAAATCAATTTATAGAGTTTGGCACGGGAGAGAGCAGGAGCCTGGTGCCAAAGTCCTCGGTAGGATCAGGGGGAGTTATTAAAAACATTCAGCAAAGCATGGGAGATGACCTGCTACAGGCGAAATCAACAAACAACAAAAAAATGTAACAGTCACTGCTGTTTTGACCAAAAGGAAAGCCCTCTGACACACTGGCTTCCTGAACTCCCCACCTAGTGATACTCCCATCACAGTACTATCTCAAACACTCTTGCGCTCTACCCAGGTTTTGGCCTGACTCCCTTCAGCATTTCAGAGAAGCACAGAACAAACCAAAAACTACAAACTAAATTTCTCAGAGGGGAAAAAAAGAAGTCTTACCCCGCTCCTTCACACAAGCAGTGACCAAACTGCTGCGTGAGATCCAATGATGCGCAAACCCATTCAAACAATCCAGCCTCTCTGCAAAGCTCCTCTGATATACCAATGTATTTTATACTCATCACAAACTTAATTTTGTTATTCAAGGAAATTTTATGTTTAGCATGCAGGCTCTTGTATGAGCTTTCCTGTCAAGGTTCTATTCTGCAGCGGACTGTATGAAAACAAGATGCAAGCCTCTATTTCCCTCCTTGAAAGTTTCCAGGAGCACGTCCTGTACAGGGCTGCTCAGAAGCTCTGCACACAGGGGTCAGCTAAAGGCACTCAAAACCCTCCTGAAGCAAGCAGGTTTTGTTGGGAGCAGTAAAAAGAAAACATTCCTCTTTAGCATCTGCTGCCACCTTGACATAAAGTCTGCTTTCTCAAAACAGAGTGTACAACCGAGTCAGCACTAGGCTGGATAAATTAAGCTCTTACTGAGCAGACAGTTTATTCTTACTGGATTTCTCTTCGCAGCTGTCAGAGGTTTGGAAAGGACCACAGTATGAGATGGAAAGAGGAAGAAGTCTACATGGTGCCATGAAAGAAACTTGAAGAAGTTTCTTCCTTCATGTTTAATTGAAAAGTTTGCCCACTTTTGGTTTACCACCACCATACCTGACACTGAGGATATGTGCCTATCACAAAAGGCTGACAGATCAATCCTTCCAAGCAGTTACCACTTGCTGTGTTTTCTCAAGCCCCATCATGGAAATTTGGCAATAGCTACAACTCATTCACACCAAAAGTTAAGAGATACCTTCTTTCAACAGCTGAAAATTTACATTTTTGTTTAAAAATGTATTAAAAAAATCCACAGATTTCCTTACAGAAAGTAGCATTTTAAAGGATACCAAATTGTGTATAAAGTATCTGTCCCAGGCTTTCACATACATAGGAATGCATTTGACAGACAAAGAAAAGGCTGTTGCATCATTTTTAGCAACCGGTTAATTGAACAAGCCTACAGTTACTCCTCCCTACATAGGGAAAAAAAAAAATATAGGCAGCGGTCATCAAGATGGTCATTTGAGAAGTCCCAGGAATCTTAACTAAATTCAAAACATATAGCTTGCACCCCATTCTTCAGGGAACACAGCCAAGATACCAAAATTGTTTTAAACATCACCAATATTTTAGTTTTAGTTGAAAGCTTTAGTTTGATTCTAATAAGAGCGCTGAGAAAGAGATACTAAAAACCAATTATACAACCAGTCAACCCTGTTTGTTACTTCTAATACTGCTGTCATTACCTAAATTCCTCCTCGTTCACCTTGAGCAACAAACTGCCATACTAGCTACCAATATTTTACAAGTTTCTCATAAGCAGCACTTCTGTGCTTGGCATCTACACTTCAAAACATGTCTAACTACAGATGCTTAAATTATACATAAAGAGTCCTGCAAATTTACATCAGCTTTCTGTATATGGCATATAGCCCAAAAATCCTTGAGCTGTTTTCCTTTCAGCTTTTTATGCATAACATTTACATTTTTGGGTATTCCAGTTATAGCTAGAACTAACAAACAACATGGACATCATTGTATCAAAGGCATCATAGGCACCTTAGAAACATCCTAAATTAGTTGTGTTAGAAAGAATTAGACATAAAATATCTGTTAAAAAACTGACCATATCATGCTGTTTATTAGTCAAGACAGAAGTGGATCAAATAGTAGGCAATTTTGGGATTAAAATTCTGTCACTGATGAACCAGATACTTTTTCTACTTTGTTCCATTAGAACAATTACAGATTATTGCAATCTATTTGTGTTAATTTACTCCTTGTATGACTTTCAGAAAACAGCAAACAGGATACACAAGGTGTTATATGAAATGACGAAACTTAAACCTTGGAAAAATTCAAATTTACTTTCAAGATTAGTGGCAAATAGCCTGACAGTGACAAGAAGCATGCAACAAGAACACATACAGTGATAGCTGAAACTTGGTCAGAGTTTACATAGGTGACAGCAGGTCGACGACTGAGAGCATTTTTCCAAGAAGAAAGCAGCGAGAGCAAGAGCTCAGGAATTGAGCCCCCTTGGCAAAATGACTTGATGAGAAAAAGGAAGAAAAGTGATGAAGTCACAAAACAATGCACAAAAAAAAATATGGTTACATCAATCACTAGACGAATGCTAAACAAATATTCTTCTCATAAGATGAAGAAGAAATCTAATTCTTATCATACGTCAAACTGTTAAGACTTGACTTCACCTTCTTAAAGTATTGATAAAGATCAAAGTTTGAGAGGTGAGGTGGAATTTTTAACATCCCCAAAAATTTCCTACACAGAGCGCTAAACTGGTGTGCACTGAATATTTAACTACATATTTACCAAAGGCAACTCTGACTATGCAGGCATACAAAACAAAGTCCTTGAAAGACATTCTCCCTCTCTCTCATACAGAAATAATGTGACTATGATACTTTTGTTCCACTTAAACTATTAAAATAATTTATGCCTTTTTTCCCCCTCCTCCCACCAAATAACCGTATTTGGAATGTGTAACACAGCTCACACTAGTATACCTAAGCAATAAGCAGAGTTGCATGACTATGTTTTATGGATAATTCATTTGGGCACACATACATTCATGAACAGTATTTAGTTTAGCACTGTATGTTTTAATTATATCAACATACAGTTAAAATAATGGTTTTTTGATCTACAGCTACATTTGGATATAATCAAGTTTTTGGAACTTGATTAGTTACTCAGGCAAAATGTTTCACTTTCCAAATAGCATAGTTATACCTATAAAATTAAGGTACTTTTTAGATCCTTAGCTATAAAAGTAAACTGCAACAATAATCAGTTTCCATCATTAATATTAGTGTGCTGCAAAAATAACAGTATTCTTCGTGCACTGAGACGAAATATCAAAGCCCACCTCTGAATGGCTATGAATTTTCCATTTTATGACATAGGGTAACAGAACTGAACTTGACCAAACAATAGATAATGACTGAAGGGCATGAAGGAAGGTAAGAGAATGAGTTTTAAAACCTTCCAATTCCTAGTACTTCCTGCTTCAAAGTTCACCGTTTAAGGTTCTTCAACATTTCTTCAACATATTTTTTTATAAAAGTTACATTTTTTAAAAAATTCACAAGTTCTGTTAATTTTCTTATTTGCAATATTTTTCTCAACAATTAATAATGGTAATTATATTTACCTAGCGTCCCAATATTTACAGTAACTTTCATACATATATATGCTTCTAAGCCTTTTTCTGTGCTTTGTCTCTGATGCAGATCACGTTCTCTTCCTGGCCCCACATATGGTGCGGGCAGACCTCCTTAGGTCACCAAGTCCACTTCCTAACAGACAGCCTAATTTACCTTATCTCATGCCTTTACTCTTTATTCTTTTTCTTTTCCTTCTGCTTGACCATCTTGCCCAACTTGACTCTTTCCATTCTCTTCTACCCCCAATGTTGTTATTTATCCATCCTCACCCATTTTTTTCCAACCACCCTTTCTACAGCAACAGAAGGGTAAAAAAAAAAAATGTTTACAGCTCTGAAGTGAACTCAATGGTTTAGAAAAGAATTGTCAATACCAACTCACTATCCAATAAGAAGCGCAGCAGGAAAAAGTGAGCCAAGCAGAAAGATCAGCAAAACACAGCAAAAGAACATATATCTGTAAGATGCAATTTTGCTGGAATCCGCATGGTAATACACTGGAATAATTAATACTGAATCTGACCTCTCTTTAGTTATTATAGGAGATCCACACAGTTTAATGCCAGACCTCCAAAAGCAGGTAAGCAAGCAGTAGATAAAGAAACATTTCTATACCTATTAATGTAGGAATGCAACTGGATATATGTAGACAATTTAATTATAGTGTTATTAAACTAGAGATGACACAAAAAACAAATAATCATCATCGTCAGTGTGACGTTTCTCTTTAGGTCATCATCAGACATCAAAATAGATACAAATGCTCATCACGCACCATACAGATATAAAACAAAATATGGAATCCAGCAAGGCAAAGACTAAATGGTAAGACAACAATACTACATTATTTAAATAGTCCAACACAACAAGGCAAGTGTCAGACTATTTTCTTTATTGCATGTACCACATTCAAAGTTATCTGAAAAAATATCCAAGAAGGGTAAAAATTGTTTAGACAAACACATTAGTAAAAACACAAAACTATCTGTCCTGGAGAAAAAATTTCAAGCTTGCAGGACACCTAAATACCTCTTTATCTGTCTCTTAGTTATCAAATATAAAAATGTTTCTGAAATAAAGTACAACTCATTTTCTTCTCATTCTACATCATAATTGTTAAACTATTTTCCAGCTAACTCAAACACACTTATTTTTTTCTAGATTATGCATGCATATTGGTATTTAAGCCCTCCAAATAAGAGGGCTTTGATTTATTGTGCTTTAGGTGATTAACACTTAAATGAGGGTGAGGGTTGTTCCTAAGCTTCCCCAGCCAGTTCCACTTCCTTGCGTTTTAGTGAACAGCAGTGATGAACCTTGTAATACTGCCCATGATGACATCCAATTCTTTCTGTAAATATTTGTAAACAAACATAAGATAAATTGACTTTGAAAGTAGATATTTAAACTGTCGATCACTGTTGCCCAGCTGACCTGCATGTTAATATACTTAATGATATATATGGTCATTAGTGCCATCCATAAGTATTAATTGCTACCGTATTTGTAGAAGGGAACATATGTTAACAGTCCCAGCCTGACCATCAAAGTCTAAATCAAACAAAGCTAATTAGTAGTGGAAGCAGTTCACCAGGAGAAACACCATTCAATTATAATTTCAAAGGGGCTAATCTGGAATGCTCAGCCTACTGTGTACTTAGTAGATTATGCCAAAGTACCGCATAATTCTGAAATTAATTGATCACATCTAACTGTGATGCAAGCGTCCCACATTTATGTAATAAGCTCATTTACACTGACAATAAAATATTTGCTACACATCTAAAAAATGCACAAAAAGAACAAATTAGTTGTTCCAGCTGTCTGACTACTTGCTTTTATGCCTGTATACTTGTCTTCATGAGATGAAAAAAATAAAAGTCTTGGCAAGCCCTGACAATCTATTCCCATTGCCCAAACATGAATTATCATTCAACAGCTCTCAAAGTGACAGGATGGCCATGTTCAATCTTTCTGTTGAGCAGCCCAGTAATCCAGATCAATGATTCCAACAGATGCAACATAAATGGTGAGAATATATACTTTACCAGTAGCAGCTTACATGAGCCACTGTCCACCTGTTGCTACCAAGCTCTTAAGGGCAGTTCTGAGGAACCAAACTGGGGGTTAGATGCACTGCCCAGCTGCACTGGACTACGTCAGGCTGGCTCTGGAATATCGGCTGGGTGCTGACCATTTAATGCTCAAGAAAAGAATGCTTCATGTATCAAAAATCAGGGAAACACTGAGCTAGATATAACACAGTATCAGACCTAAAAGATTAGGTTTATCTTTTACCTTTTTTACTTTTAATTTTTTTAATTTAAATAAAATCTGAGTATGTGCCACCCTTACACAGTATTTAACAGTGACTCTTGGCAAAACACTAGAAATGTAAGCTAGACAGCATTACTTGATTATACATTATGTTTTATAATGTAAATGCCTGCCTCTGGGGCAGAGGAAGTTGGGAATTAGGTCATTCATCACCTGCAGGGAGACAAATGTTGAGTGATACATTCTGCTTCAAATCTTTCACAAGTAGAGTGAAGGAAGAATTAGGGAGCATATGACATGTACACTCCTTGGAAATAAAAGGATATTAAGTGAAAGTCTGAAAGCCCCTCTTACACCAATTCTATCCAAGGAACAAGACAGGCTATAACCTATACAGATAAATAAATAAATAAATCACTAGGAGAAACACATACTTTCCGATAAGGAAATACTGTCCCTTACAGGAGAAGAGCAACTGATGTCATCTACCTGGACTTGTGCAAAGCATCTGACACTGTCCCACATGACATTCTTGTCTGTACATTGGAGAGACGTGGATTTGACAGATGGACCACTCAGTGGATAAGGAACTGGCTGGATAGTCACAACCAAAGAGTTGCAGTCAATAGCCCAGTGTCTGAGCGGAGACCACCGGTGAGTGGCATTCCGCAGGGGTCGGTATCGGGGACCAGTGTTGTTTAACATCTTTGT